AATTGTCAGAGTGCCGTTACGCCTTCCATTTCCATTCAGAAAAATCTTGTTTTTAAAATCTGTCTCTATTTGATCAGTTTCACCATTAAGGTGTCCCATTAGTTTAAATCCCAGGGTGCCCTGGGTCTGTTTGTACCACATCATTTGGAAATAACTTGCTATATTGTGTGTACATATGAACACAGCTGATTCGTCTCGGTCCTTTATTGATTTAGAAGGAGTCTGGTAAACAATGTTACCAAAAGTGGAAGCTGCAAAGAGACAAATAAATGAAAGAATTAATAATAAAGTTTCAATAAAAGATGATTTACATGCAGCTGTTGCGATAAAAAATCAATAAACACTTCATAAAATACATTATTACCTGTAAGCCACATAAATGTGATAGAGAAACTTAGTAGAATCTTATTCATGCTGTTTCCCTGTGCTACAGTATGTGACTCTGCTGTGAGTAATTACAGTTGATGAAATAATAGACAATGGAGGAAGTGATGTCACCAAAGGGAATTTCTGACAACTCAAGTTTACTCTATTTGAATAGAAGTTTGTAAAGTGTGCTGACAATTGTATTTGTATTTTCTGTAATTATAGTAAGGAAACTCTGACTCATAATTTTGTGATTGAATTTTTTTGGAGAAGAGAAACTGTGAATTATGTATTTAGCAGCAAGGATGTCTGATTGTTTTGTAAGGTTCTACACTAAAAACATGTTTCCAGATGTATTTTGTATGGATCTATAATAATATTATATTCTTAAGTAGTACCCTATGCAGAGTTTACTGCATTCAGTCATATTATCAAACTGTATATTTTTGTGTAGTATATGTGCCATTTATTAGTTGTGCTACACTGTCACCTGTTGACTATTATTGTCAGTGCCATTTTATTAAGTTTTTGTACAGCACTCAAGCTATTGACATGAGTGTAATGCATGCCATTGTCACCATTGTCACTTTCAGGAGCATTTTTAAGAGCTTCATATTTTTACTTTTTAACATCTCCAAAGAATGAATCTCCATAAGCAGTAGTGGATATACTATATGCTCATTTTCTCTCCTGGATGCTGTCTTGCAGCACTTGTTGTGTGTGCTGTCCATAACCGCAGACCTCTTTTTTGCTTTACAAAGAATAGTTTCTTCATTACGAGCCAAAGAACCGCTTTTAGTGCTATATAGCACCATTTTTTTTTAGAGTGTATAACATCAAGTCTGATAGTTAATTTCATCTGTAATTTGAGAAATGTTGTAGGCTGCTCTTATTCTTACAGACAGATGAACTTGTGTGGACTTAGAGAAATGTCAACATCTGAACGATCATATAAAATATAGATTAACTTGAGTTTATGGATAATTACACATTTTAATATAAAAAAATTACCTGTTGAAAGTGAGTGAATAGTTATATTTTTTTAAAAATCGTCAATCTTTGCTCATGTGATCACAGAATGCTTTCACCTAATCACCAAGGCTTTAAATATGGCGTTATTTTAATGACAAATGTCGAGAGCGCATAATTGTAGTGCGAAAGCACATTAATATAATGCGCGAGCAAAATCTCTCTCAAGCGCTAGATATTAATTATTTTCGCACCTGAATTAAACGTTGTCAAAAGTTATCATTATGCACTTTTAAAAAGTAGCCTAGTCTCAAAACAGATTTGTGCAGGGTCTTTCCTTGATTTTTTATTGTTGTATTTTTGTTTTAACATAAACTGGTTATTGTAGCTACTTTGTTTTACTATATCTCTTTTAGGCTAGGAATTGGGTGCTTGGATGATTTGTACATATAACCTCTGTCCAACTGGTTGGTCTCTGAGCAGTTTATCTAAAAACAACATATTATAGCCTATGGCTCTAAAGACTTCATATAAAACATCAATGTTATGTCATAATATGTCAGATACCTCAAGTGAATTTAAAACCATTGCAATAAATTCTCAGTTGGTATGATGGCAATGCAAAAATAGATGTAAATGATGGATTTTTTTAATCCAGTGTTTGTTCAGTTCAGATTTTTTTTTTTTCCTGAAAATCCACTTAATATTAGCTACACATTCAATGGGACTCTCCTCTAAAACAGTGAATATACAGTTGTATGACAGTTACATGTAATTACGTTGTCCGCAAATGCATTAAACCCATAGAACAGAATGTAGTAATGTTATGGCAAATATGAAAAATTCATTATAGTGTTATATTTGGTCTCCAAATCGTATATTGGTTTAGGGAATAGTGCATCTGACCCATATCTAAATAGTTCTGTCTTAATGTGCTTTCGCGCTACAATAATGCGCTCTCGACATTTTTCATTAAAATAACGCCATATTAAATGCCTTTTGACTAGTGCAGTCACTCTAGAACTAAAAATGATGCTTCACTACTTGATGAAGAGAAGCATAACACCACTCATATTATTTTTTTCAGTGTTTTGTCAAATGCTAAACATGTGATAAACCCTTCAGAAATCATTAATTATTAATAACAAAAGACACGTTGATATAATAACCTTTTAAATTCCCTTGTTTATTTATTGCTAAGCTACTTGCATGCATTATAATCACTGAACCACTAGTCCAGGTGCAAAGTGGGAGTGAATGTGCAGTCACTGATAATCGTGTAACAGGGACGGAGTTTTTGTATCAGACAGAGGTGATTCTGAGCACTGTGTAATATGCTGCACAGAAATACACTGCACTGTCAGTCAGCGTGAGTGTGTTGATAGTCAGAGTGACATTATTTCTTCCATCTCCATCCAGTTTGATCTTGTCATTATATTTAGTCTCCTTGATCTCTTGTTTAATATTAAGGTATCCCATGAACTGAAGGTCCATGATGCTCTGGCTTTGTTTGTACAATTGTATGACATCATAGTTTTGTACATTGTTTGTACATTTGATCTCAGCAAATTCATTTTCTTTCTTCAGGAGATCAGAAGGAGTCTGGACAACACTTTGACCAAGAATGCTGACTGTAGATAGAAATATTAATGGTTAAACTATATATTGATGTGATGATGTCTCACAGATTTCAGTTACACAATGTACTAGCACTAAAAACAATTACCTGCAACAAGACACAGAATAAAGAAAGAAACACAGAGACAGCGAGCATTAATCATGTTGTCTGTCTCTCTCTCTCTGCTGAATGATTCCACTATGAATCAAATACAGGGGATGAAGGAAGTGATGTCAGGGTGGCAGCTTAGTTTTCTCTCTTAAATGCATCTCTCTGATTGGAAACCATTGGCTTTCATTCAACAAGACATTGTACGGAAGACTACTGTTTACTTGTACCAGAGTGCCCCCTTTTGGATGGTATATTCTTTCATTTTTTTATTTGGGTTGAAGATTTGTGTACGAGATGTTTTTGCACATCTGCCTCCACTTTTTGACACACTGTGTTTGCTCACTGAACAGAAATACATGGCGCTATCATCTGGCTGTGCATTCTTCACAGTAAGAGATCCACTCTCGGGAACAGATTTATCCGCTTCAAATTTACTTTGATCAGAATCTCCAAAGTCTGGATCCCCGTAGCTTTTTGTAAGCACAATGAGGCTCAAACGCTCTCCTTTTCTCTGCCGGTACCAGTACATCTGACTGTAGTCAACACCCTTATTGTGTGTGCAGTTTATTTGGACAGAATCCCCCTGGAGTGTCCAAAGAATGCCAGGCTGTGAAACACCATCTCCACTGGAAGCACCTGCAGAGAAATGATGATTATTAATAATTATTTATGTATCAACATAACAAAGTTTATTGTATTATTTAACATGGTAATGCTCTGGATAAATAATCGTACATTGACTCCAACAAAGTGTCAGGATTAGCAGAACAACGAACATGTTAAATGATGGCTGGGAGTGCACTGGTCATGGTTATGAGAGATTATTCAAATTCTGCCTGTCAATACAGGATCTGAAATTTAGACACATTTGTTGAATCACATTGCCCCCTGTTGATAACTGTTACTGTAATTGTTTATTTATTTATGTATCAACATAACAAAGTTTATTGTATTATTTAACATGGTAATGCTCTGGATAAATAATCGTACATTGACTCCAACAAAGTGTCAGGATTAGCAGAACAACGAACATGTTAAATGATGGCTGGGAGTGCACTGGTCATGGTTATGAGAGATTATTCAAATTCTGCCTGTCAATACAGGATCTGAAATATAGACACATTTGTTGAATCACATTGATGACTGTTACTGTAATTGTTTATGGCAGCTGTTTTTGTTTAACGTGAAAGTTCTCTGCACTGTGTGCTGTTTGACTGAACAGAAATAGACGGCACCATCATCTGACTGCACATTGTTCAGTCAGAGATCCACTTAATGGCTGAAAATTAGTTTTGATCAAAATCACCATAGTCAGGATTGATGAAAGTGTTTGTGAACACGATTAGAGTCATAGTGTGTCCTTGGCGCTGTCAGTACATCTGGATGAATGTAGCATCCTTTTTTATGTGTGCAGTTCAACTGAGCAGAACTCCTTTTTACTGCCATTAAAACACTTGGAATTTGTGAAACAGCACTGTTACCTGCAGTTGAGCATAAAAGTATATAAGCAATTTTAAAAGGTTATTCTGTTAAATATGATTTAATTAAGATAGTTTGAATACCTTGGCCGCAGTGCAGCATCAGAATCAACAGAATAATGTTCCTCATCTTGTTAAATTGAGGCTGGCTGGCTTAAATTACAATCTTCTGTGATGATTACAAATTTTAGTTGTTAATACAGGATGTAACTTCATGACATCATGGTGATCTCAGGGTGGGGCAAAATTCAGAATTTAAGAAAGAAGTTTCTGACTATAAGAAGTTTCTGAGTTGGGATGTGAACTGCATTGACCACATACTACGAGATATTAAGCACCACTTTAAGCAAGACTTACAGGTGTTGTGTTTAGTATTGGCACTGAATCAAAACCCACAGGTGTGGAGAGGAACATGATAAAATATACGCTTTTGAAGTAAGCCGTTTAAAAGAGGTTTTTGTATCAGACAGAGGTGATTCTGAGCACTGTGTAATATGCTGCACAGAAATACACTGCACTGTCAGTCAGCATGAGGTTGCTTATAGTCAGAATGCCTTTATTTCTTCCATCTCCTTCCAATTTGATCTTCTTTTCAAATCCTGGCTCTTTGGTCTCATCCTCATAAAAAAGGTTTCCCATCAACTCGAAGCCCAACACATCCTGACTTTGTTTGTACCACAGTATTCGGTCATAGCTCTGTATGCTGTGAGTACAAGTGATCACAGCAGATTCATTTTGTTTCTTCAGTAGATCATCAGGCGTCTGGAGAACAGTTTTACCAAGACAGGCCACTGTGAAGAAAATAAAACAGGTGTTTATAATTAATGTTCAGACTAAAATAATCTGTATAATGTACAGTATGTAAAGTAAACATTTATCTAGTCCATGATTGTTTATACATACCTGTCAACATCATTAGATATACAAATATGTTAAGGAGAGTGTTCATCATCATGCTAGCACTTTTTACAAAGTTCTTTTGTTATAAATTAAAGAAACAAGCGAGAGGACGGTGATACAGCTCAGCTTTACAGGTTCTCTAATGGTGAAACCTAAAAAAAATGATGAATGAAACATTAAAAAAATAAGATTCCTTCCTACACAGGGATAAATATAAGACTGATGTGCAGCTCACACTGTGCATGTTTTTGATTTGCATCAAAGATAAAGTGAACATTTATGGAACCACACTGCCCCCTATTGATATTTTTTCTTGTATGTTAAGACAACCGTTTTTTGTTTAGTTTTTTGTGCATCTCTCCCCAGAGTTTGATATTCTGTGTATTCACTCACTGAACAGAAATATATGGCGCTATCATCCGCCTCCAAATTCTTCACCGTCAGAGATCCACTCTCAGGAACCGCTTTATTGGCCAAAGCTTTATTTGACTCCGAATATGGATCGCTGTAAGAGGTTGTGAATGCCACGAGTCTCATAATTTGTCCTTGCCATTGTCTGTACCAGTACATCAGTATGTAGTCTGAACCTTTATTATGCGTGGAGGTGATTTGGGGAAATTCCCCCTTTAGTTCATAAAGAATAGCATAATCTCCAACTGTGCAAATATAGAGTACAAGAGTAAAGTAATATACAATATAAAGAGTATGGAGGTAACTGTGACGTCATCTGGATAACTTGCCACCAATACAGTGCTATAATTATTATGGTTCTAATCATGTTGAGTCCTAGAGTGTAGACTGAGTAGACAGAGGAGTGTCTTGTGAGACTGAAACTTCAGCTGATGTAACAGGATGTGACATCAAACGGACACCATCACTCAAAATTTCTACCTGAAAGGGAAAAAAAAGAACTTAAAAAAATCTTCCAAAACAGTAATCTCCTGTGGTAATAGACAGCATGCCAGAGATGCTGTCTACAGATTATAACTTGTATTCAACCCTTAATATTAATCATTTTGCTTCAGCTAACTGTTCTGACATGCAGCATATTGTTTGTGCCAGACTGCCACCTGTTGACTAATGCTGTCCTTTTCATGTACAGAATGTTTTTATACCATTTTATACAGTACTCTCCAACCTTTGACATACTGTGTTGACTCTCTGAATACCTACTTTCAGGAGCACTTTTATGAGCTTCAAATTTATTTATATCAGCATCTCTAAAGTCTGGATCTCCATAAGCAGGAGTGATCATTACGAGTCTTGTGCAGGTTCTTGTCTTGTAGGCTTACAATATCACTCTGCTGTCTCTTGCACAGTTTGGCTACAAAGTTGCCCGCTTTCAGAGTCCTTTATTTTTTTTCTCTTTCTCTCATTCTGAATTCTATATGCACACAACGCAAAGAACACAAATAGGCCCTATGTGTTTTTTCCTTACTAAAGGTATTTCAGTGCTTGATTCCATAACCTATAATACACTCAGTGTGACAAATGTACATGTGTTTTGCACTTGAATAAGTGCACTAAATAATCTCCACTATGGTTTTGAACACTATAACACTATGGCTGACACTCAAAATAGCGCACTATATAAGGGTAAATCGGGCAGTTTTGGACATGGCTGCATTGCTCAGAGATGTAACAGTTTATTATGCTTAAATATATAAGGTATATTATATAATACAAAATAATTTGCTATGAAATCATTTTTCACAACACCTGGATTCTAAATATTTCTTTAGGGATATTATGGAATTTTGGAATTGGTGAATACAACTTAGAATTTGTCAGAAGAAGGAGAACAGTTTTGGTCATAATTAAATAAAATGCTAATTCAAAAAGTCTGCCTTGTGTAGTTTTAACTGTAAGCACGGGGGTCAGCATTTCTCAAGAAAAAATTTAACACTTTTATATTCTGCATTCAAAACACAAGACAACAGAAATCATTTCAGTTCAATGATTCTGCTTTATTATAATATTATCCTCACTGAATCTACAGTTTGGAGTCAGCATGAATGGCAATGAATGGATCCTCGTCTGTGTTGCTGATGCTGAAGGTGGCACGTCCATCAGCATCCACTGACACCTCTCTCCCTGTGCAACTGCCCCCACTTTTATCTCCAGAGATGACGTCACAGTATGTACCCTTGGGCAGGCCAGTGTTCAGCGTCACATTCAGTGCCCTGGGACATTAGTCAAATCCAGTTAATGAGTGGTTGTGGCTAATTTGCATTATAACATGTTCATTATTCATGGATTAGAGTTGCAAGTTTCTCACCAATCATCATTGTTGATGACAATGAATCCTTTGTTTCCGCGGCTGAAGGCGATCTGATTCGATCGACCGAAGGCGATCAATGGCCAGCCTCTTTCCAACTGGTGGAAAGAGGCTGGCCATTGACAACATTACGGAAAGTCACCATATTCCTGTGGCGAGGAATACAGTATTAAGAGAATTGCTTTTTAAGACCAAATTCGGAAGGACTAAAACACACACCTACCTGATTTGACGGCATCTGTGCTCACATACCCAGTTGTCCCCACAGGTGGAGTCTGGGTTGATGGGATAGCTTAGTGGATCCATCAGAAAAGCTTGGAGGGCCCATCCAGTCATTCTGATCCTGTGTCATGTGTCAATGTGTAATGAAAGAAATTGGATAATCTCATGAGGGGTTCAAAATCCTGTTTATCAGTGTAGTGATAGCTAAAATGCATGTTTAAATACTAAAAGTTTTTAAATTAACAGATTTGGAGAGCACTATTACCTTTCAGTTCACAATTGTACGATCCCAGCGGTAGCTAGACATGACTCTGGTCACACCGTAAGGATGAGCCAACATGAGTCCTGTAGCGATCTTATAAAGCCTGCAAAATGCAATGTAAAATTTCTTGGAGAAAAGCAACAGACAGTTCAATCAGTAAACAGTCAAATTTAGTTTTTACAAGATGATGCCCTAACAATTTAACTAGAGTCCCAGAATGTCAGAACAGAAGCTCCACCAGCGCCGTGGCCTCTCTGATTATCATGATTGTCCACAAACACCAAGCCTCTATCAGAAGGCATGAAACCCCAGTCCTCTTCCCAGTTCCTAAAACAAAACACTTCTGATAACTCTTGGAAACTTTGCTGAGTATGATTATAAGAACAAGTGACATGTTGATGATATCACTATACAGTATATGATCTACTCATTACATATTACTACATACTTCAGATAGCTTAGCTTCTCTCCATTCCATTTACGAACCACTGTGCCCAATTTCGCACTGTGTTTGAATTCCGTCACTCTTGCAAGCCCATAGTACTCACTGGCTTTAATGGGCTCCCCACTCAAGTCAATAATCTATAAAAAGTTGTGTTAATGCTTTATTAACCAAATTTAAGTGAATGCTAAGTCTCCTTATTCAGAAGTTGATAACATAGAAAAGGGATGGTGAGACCTCTTGATAAATGAAGGGCTTGGTGCCAGATGGAAACCATTTGGTATTGAGGGTCTTGAGTCTGCCGTAGACGTTTGTAAGGTCACCAGGCCACATGTGCTTACAAGCATCTACTCTGAATCCAGCCACACCCAGGTCGATCAGTTTGTTCAGATATTCGGCCAGTTTTCCTCGAACATAGTCTTTCTCCAGCGCCAAATCCAGGAGATCTTCCAAGCAACAATCCCTGACCTGTCCAAGATAATGACAATGAAATTTTCCGTAGGAAAACATAAACAGTTTTTGGTGTAATTTATGTACTGTTTATATTGTTGGATAAGAACCCAGAAAATAAACCTGGTAAATATCGTGGTAGTTTTCAATATGCCCACTGCCAGTTTTACATTTGCCATCATTGAAGTCCAAATATGAGTAGGGAACAGAAGAGAAACTTTGATCCACAGCTGGAAGGAGTGCCCTTTCCATGAATTGATTTGCACATGTGATTGATGACAACATCAACATAAATGTTCACCTCAAAACATGGAAAGACAATGTGTCTTCTGATGTGCTTCCAAAGAGTGCCCAGTTTTCCCTCCATTCTATGACAACGGTCGCATTTCTCAAGCAGATCGATTGTCTCTCTCACATCAAGATGTGACCAATCAAACTACTTGCTGAATCCTTCTGAATCAACAGGGTTAAACGGCGTGTGGTACTTTGAAGCCGACCTCCCACAGGCAGAAGAACTTTTTGTGGAATGGAAAGGTTCCAGGGATTTTAAATGTTATTTGTGGAACCTTTCTTAAGGTTATTCATTAAGAGTGTACACTTGTGAAAGCAATGCAATGTCTGAAGGTATTGTACCATGTGTTTCGTGTCTTTAGGGATCAAAGGGTGGAACAAAACAGGAAAACAAGAAGACTTTTTGAGTTCAACTGCCCACAGTTCCACCAATTGCATGTGGTTTCTGAAGCAGCAGAAACCACGTGCTAGAACTTTCAACAGATTTTTATTTTTGAGTTTTTACGACTTTAAGAGCTAAAACCTGTACCCAGGTAGCCAGCGCAATCGGGCCAATTGCAGCTGAGTGTCGGTATTGAGGGTCTTGAGTCTGCCGTAGACGTTTGTAAGGTCACCAGGCCACATGTGCTTACAAGCATCTACTCTGAATCCAGCCACACCCAGGTCGATCAGTTTGTTCAGATATTCGGCCAGTTTTCCTCGAACATAGTCTTTCTCCAGCGCCAAATCCAGGAGATCTTCCAAGCAACAATCCCTGACCTGTCCAAGATAATGACAATGAAATTTTCCGTAGGAAAACATAAACAGTTTTTGGTGTAATTTATGTACTGTTTATATTGTTGGATAAGAACCCAGAAAATAAACCTGGTAAATATCGTGGTAGTTTTCAATATGCCCACTGCCAGTTTTACATTTGCCATCATTGAAGTCCAAATATGAGTAGGGAACAGAAGAGAAACTTTGATCCACAGCTGGAAGGAGTGCCCTTTCCATGAATTGATTTGCACATGTGATTGATGACAACATCAACATAAATGTTCACCTCAAAACATGGAAAGACAATGTGTC